CAGAGCAACGACCATTGCCGGCATGGCCAGAGGTACCTGAACCTATGCAACGGCTGGGTGAAGCCATGGGCAGTTCGGGCTACGAGTGGTCACTCTGCGCATTCAGATCCCCAGAACAACTTGCTTCAGTTGGACAAGAACAGGTTCGCAATATCTCCATCTATGACCCTCTTGCAACGTCTTGGAGGTGCGTTCCACGCTACGGCATGCCGCAACTTGGATTCCATTGTCACGCAAGGCATCATGCCTGGTTCGGAGGACCCCGACGGGGACTTCGACCATCGGCGCCAATTCCGAGGCAACCAAGGCGGCAGACTCCACAGCTATTGGGGGGTGTTTGCGCCGTTCGATCACCGGAACGCAACGACCAAGATGCGAGTACACGGACGAGACGCCAAGCACATGCCATTGGCGGTACTTCATGTCCCATCGCAAGATCTTGCACGAGAAGATAGACGTATCACAGACAGCGGCATCATGATCGTTGGTCGGACGATACCTTTCCATTTCGTCAAGGAGGTATGGTTTTGCGTCCCTGACCCTCGAGATACACACTCTTTCGCTCTGGTGGAAAAGATCTACGATGAAAGGTTGGAGAAAGAGCTGGTGTTGGACTACAATGCATCACCGTTGCTTCCCGAGTTCGAGAGATACCGAACGCCAAGCAAGATCATGGAATTGCTTTGCGAGATGCCTCCTGGACCCCACGACACAAGCAAGGAGCAGATCATTCGTGACCTCACAACTGTCTTGGAGTCCCACAGGGAGAACACGGTTCGGCATCACTACATGGACAAGGGAATCAAGTTTGTCATCAAGAATTGGCGACCCGAAGACCTACGCAGAGACGAGGATGGAAGGAGAATGAGGGTATGCCCGGCATGCTACAACATTGTTCCAGCATGTTTCTCCCGATGCACGTCTTGCTGGTCACAGTTCATTTCAAGCGGATATTATCAAGGTTCTCCACAACGGGATACTCCTACGGAGATCCCCAGTGACTTCATTGCTCAGACAATGGAAGCCGCAGCAGCCGCAGTGCCTGAGGCGCCCGAAGAGGAGCAGGAAGCCATGGAGGTAGAGACCGTTGCGGAACCTGAAGAAATCCCAGAACCATCTGTTGTCGCGGAAGACGATCCAGAACAGGAACCTGATGAAGAAATGGACGTTGAGCCTGAAGAGGACTTTGATGACGCAGTTCCAGAAGCAATCGCACAGGAACGTCGTCCCGTCTTCATTACCGGCCAGTCTTTGAACATCGATCCTGAGCTACAACTTGCACGTACCGCCATGCAGCCATCTTACTATTCTGGAAAGCGAAATGCCCATTGCATTGACGCGAACATGACCGCTCTGTCGTACATGGCATACGTGGTATGCAGATCCATCTACAAAGCTTGGTCAGGATTCGCAAAGTGGGCGACTATGCCGTTGTTTCAGATGAGGGAAAGTTTCGCACTTGGCCAACGCTATGATGTGCTTGGAAAGTGGGGATCTTTGGCGGCAGTGGATAAGGAAACAGGCGTGAGCAGGGACGTGACTGATGAGGAGATCATTCGCTTTGCAAAGGAGCCTGAGAACCTCAAACAGTATGATCCCAACGGGACTTACACCTTGAAGCGCTTCCGGACGAACCAGATGCTTTCTCTACTTGTACGGGGAGCCAACATGATGGGAATTGGCAGGGACAACTTCAGCCCTACTACTTATTTGAAGAGCGACAGGGATGAAGATGTAAAGGCAATGCACTTTTGTTGCCTGAACGTCCTATGCGAGGTGATCCCAATGGTGACGGGACACCAACAATTCTCAGTGCTACGACCAACGCCAACTGGACCGGTGGACTTCTTGTACATCGACCCTGTCGGTATTCTGCTGACTCATTCTGATCAGTCAGTCCAGACCATCGCTTTGCTGGTGGACCACAGTGTGCAGATGCCTGCGCATTTCATGGACAGATTGAACAGATCCAAGACCGAGAGACAGCAAAACCCAACGACAAGGCGTACGGAAGCCCTACATCACATTTCGGCCGCTGACTATCTTCCTCCAGGTGGTACTTCCATCCTGGACACGCCTGTCACTACGGAGGAACGTGAAAGCGCTTCTTCATCCAAGGGACCTTCAAAAGGGCGTGGAAGAACCGGAGGCGAGCAACATGGTGGCTGGAACACCAATTCCTACCACGACTACATCGCCGCCAAAGGCCGAAACAAAGGCAAGGACAAGGGAAAGCCAAGGAACCCATATCCAGAGGAGAACCTCCGGCCCTGGGAACGCGATCCTACGTCAACGCGAAGATGGTGGCGAGACAACGCCTGATCTTCCTCGCCTATCAGTTCGTGACCTCTGAGCTTCGCCCGTGGAATGCCATCGCGAATGCTTCTTTCTTCGGTGACGCCTGATTCGTTTGTCATTTCAGGGGATCGTTACTGACGTAGATGAGTGTCACAACGTTTCTAATTGGGATACAAAGCTCTGATTTTCAATGTCAACGTTGCGGCGGAATTTTCTTCTGTCCTATCGTGCCATCTTCCGGGTGAGCAGCGTCGGAGACGCAACTCATGGGGGGTGCGAACGGACTGCGATGCCTTGTCAAGTTCTAAGGTGTCACTATAAGAGCTGTGAGCAAGACCGTGTAAAGTGCAAGAGAAGGGGGCACGCTACGCGTCCCTCGACTCTAGGGGGCATGCTACGCATCCCTCGTCTTTACCTTTCTATGTGACCGCCAACGCAACGTTTGGCTCAAGTCAATGCCCATAGCTAAGTGCTATATGTGTCTTCTATCCTGAGCAATCAGAGCTATCCCGTTGCACAGACGAACCGCCGCCGGCAGTGAGTGCAAAAGGAACGGCCGCCGGTTCTGCCTGCATAGGATCGCACGTGTGGGAGTACGAGAGAGAGACAGGGTCCAGTCTGTGGAGAGTGCTAGCCAACCACACCTACATACATTACAGCTCTGGTGGGGAGAGCAGCAACCAAGTCGAGATCAATCCCCCACGCACAAAAAGGGACCGTAATTTTGACAACCACCCAAATCTATCACGGCACAATTCCTTTGCGTGGGGCTCGGACCTTCAGCCCATGATAAGATTTACGGTTTTTTGAAGGATTCCGATAAGGGGTACTATCGCAATACTGAGGGAGAGCTTCATGGTTTTGGGCTCGTATGTGTCGGTTTGACTTCGCGCAGACGGGAACGGCCCAAATGAGCCTCAGAACATGTACCCCCAAACTTCCCCAGGAAAGATACACGTTAAGCCTCTTGGCGTTGTATCATGGGAACCATTCAACTGAACATCCAGGCTTCAGTCAACAGCGCATCTTCCACAAAGCACAAGCACTACACTGTGAACCCTGAAGTCTTCGCAGTAAGACCTGCACCTTAACACCTCAACCGTCAACCCTGATTATTCAAGGGTGTTTAGGGTTTAGGCTGGTTTCAGGTATAGGGTTTGACCAGATTAGTCTCAACCAGGAACCTCCTTCGCAGATTGGACGAAGCGGCACTGGTGTCCTTGGCGCCTTCTCGTGATTTTGTTTCAGGGTCTCGTAGCAGGCTTTGCGAGCTTGATCAGCCAACAGGGGGTGTGTAAGGTCCGCCAGTGGCACCCTTTTACCGTTTTTGCTGGCCAAAGTAGATCAGATACTATATCGGTGCAGTAGAAGCTATATAGTGAGTCCCACAGTACCCCCTGCAAGACTCCTCTTTGCGCCCCTCCTTGCTCGAGATGAACGCAGAATAACCGAGCATTCAGCTAGCAGTAGGGGATACCGCGGGTCCTAGGATGCTACGCGTATACATATATATATATATATACACATATATACATTAACTTATGTAGGTTTCTCTGTCGGGGTCTGCTTCTAGACCTGGAAAACTGCATGCAAACGGCACGGGTCTACTCAAGGGGCTATGGGGGGACTTCCTGTTGTTGTTGTTGTTGTTGTTGTTGTTGTTGTTGTTGTTGTTGTTGTTGTTGTTGTTGTTGTGCTACGCTACGATATTGGTCTCCGGACATCTGTAATCCCAGGATCCATGCAGCTATGTAGCTTATCGATTGGCCCTACAGCTCCATGCTTTGAGGCCAAATAAGAGACCAAACCCTCACGCCTAAACAGCACATTTCCTATAACCTATGGGCACATGGAGCCTATCAAAGCCTTCAAGAACACCTTCAAAGAACATGCTACAAACTCAAGGCCCTACTTCCCCTATACAGTCGGCTCTTGGGGTTCAGGGTTCAGGGTTGGATGCTATCTTCTTTCCAAGGTTAGAGGTATTGGCCTCTAATATGGACCCTTAGGCCCATTGGGGGGAATCTCGGGACCCTTACGAGCACAAAAAAGGTTAAGAAGGATCCCTGTGGGCTTCAACTATAGATTTGTTCAGCTGAGGTCGTCGGGCATTTGCAAGCGCGTTTGTCCCTGAAAGGCTGCGGGGCATCCGAGCAGGTTTTTGTTGGGGGTCATAGGAGGCCAAAAGGGGTTTTAGCATATGGGGGTTTAGTAAGGATTAGGGTTCCCATAATAGGGTTCATATTCAGGAATCCCTACCCCAAGAATCTTAAACCCCCTTTTGGCCTCCCATCAGGGGGGGAGTTCGGCGTGCCAGTGGCTCGAACTAGTTGCTACTCCTCACCAACTCATTAATCACTTTTGTAGGAACCTGATTGAGAAACCCTGCGCCCAGAAGTAGGATCCATATAAGGAACCCTAATGAAGGCCCAAGGTTTCTTAATCATGGTTCCTATATGGGAGTTTCCGAAAATAGGGGACCCTAATACAGTACCCTAAATAGTAGGATCCTTATTACAAGGACCCTTAAATAAGGTACCCTGAATTTTCGGAAACTCCCATATTACCTCCGCTTGTGCTTTGAGAACCGTGTTCAACCCGAAGGCTTTTGTTTCAAGGAAAACTGCGTGCTCTGCCTCTTCGGGGGTTATGAGCCCAACGCTGGCCTAGTGCCGTAAGCCGTTGGTGTCTTCGGTGCCGCCATGGATGGCGGCGACGCAGCCGGCGAAGGCGGTGGAGCTGAGGTTTTGGAGTTGGATTTGGCGCCAGATGGTGAAGCTGGTGGTCCTCTCCAGAACGCCGCGGCTGCGGGCGAAGTGCGAGTTGATGAAGCAGTTTTGGAGCCTGCTTACGATGGCCGGCCGGGGACGGGACTTCAAGGTGAGGCGCACGGAAGCCACGGAAGCCAAGGTGGTACGGTGAGCCGTGATGGCGAGCTTGTGCCACCCTCTGGCGGGCAGCGACCTGTGCTTGAGGTTCCGGAACCGTCCGGGGCGGGTGATCCGCATGCGAGAAATGAGGACGCTACTGGAGTTGTAGAAGATGTGAGGAATCGTCCTTCGAGAACCTCTTCGGTGGAGCGCAGAACTGAAGATGTGTCGACTATTTCTCGCTCGTTGAACTACATGACCGGTCTGCTTTCGACGTTGGTGAGTCGGATGGACAGGGTGGAGCAATGGCAGTCTGCTAGCGGCTCTCTGCCGGGACAGCAGGCGCACAGCGTGGATGGTGACACGGGAACTCCTGTGGCTACAACCCCTGCGACGGCCACCTCTGGCAGACCTGGCGGAATGGGCTGGGTGGACTCAGAGCGTCTGAGTAGACACCTGGCTCAGCTAAGCGTGGGAGAAGGAGGATCAGAGATGCCGAGTGCGATGCTCAGCATGAGGCCTCTCAGTTCGACGGCAAGGATCCTGGAAGGAACTTTCAGCAGTGACAGCAGCACCACTGCGATGAGGAGGGCTGAGGAAGCCCGTCGAGGGGTTCCTGGGGCACTACTGGGACCGCTGGCTCTTGCGAATCAACCTTTTGGGGTGACTTCAGAAGCAATGGAGGTGGACTCTGGTCCGGCCGCCGACAATGTGGACCTCACAGTGGAAGCTGCGATGTTGGCTCAGAGTCAGCCTCCTGTGGATGGGCTTCACAATGTGGAGCCGAGGGGCTCAGGGGAAGTGGCTACTTCGTCGCCGCCTCGACCGCTGGGTCCTCCCACGACTTTGTCGCCTCAGCGAACGTCTGGGCCTCGGAGTATGACCTCGCCGCCAGGAATGTCAGGGCCTCTGGGTATGACTTCGCCTCCAGGAATGTCGGGGTCTCTGAGTATGCCTCCTTCCCAAAGTTTGATGGATTCTTCGAGGAACTCCCAGGGGGATTCGCGTTCTATGTCAAGAAACCTGAGGGCTATGGAATCTCCGAGTATGTGGCCGTCTTCGGGTATGTTAGGGTGCTCGGGTATGTGGCCTAGTGCCCCACTGACTTTGCCCTGGACCGCGCCTACAGGTACTCAGGGAGCCACGGCGATTCCGACCACCACCTGGGAAGAGGAGGAGACTCTTCGGTTGTTTCGTGAAGCCGGGGATCTTGGGAGATATGTTGGGAGTTGTGGAAGGGAAGCGACCCAGGGCTCTCCGGTTTCGGTGTCTGGTTTGCTTCCGCCGTCTTCGCAGCCTACTACCTCTGCGCCTTGCATGCAGCTCACGGGCCAGGTTATTGGGGCTCCTTCTACAGGGCTAGCTTGTGTACGTGGACAGTGGCTGCCGTACTCCATGGTGCAAGGGCAGATGGTGGTGCAATTCGAGCCGGAGGGTGTGAGGAATGTGACAGCTGCGACTACAGTGAATGCTACTACCGAGAGCTGTAGTATCCCACCTCCGCCTCCACCTTTACCTCCCCCTGGGACGCCGAGGATTGGAACCAGTGGAGGATCATCTTCTACGCCAGGTGGGACTCCGATTCCGCCTTGGTCTCCAGCGACGAGTGCACCTGCTCCTCCTGATCACCCGCCGGCTACTTCTATGGCAGCTTCGGCGAATGATGCAGGCTTGAGCGAGGAGCCCTCGAAGCTAGTGACAAAGCTTCCTTCGCTGGCGAGTGCGAGGGGAGGAGATGCTGCGGTGATTGCTGGGGATTGGTTGGCTCAGCTGGAGCCTTCGATGTCTTCGTTGAGTACCAGCGCGGTACTTTGGTGGAAGCAACTGATGGAGAGAGTGAAGGGCCTCTACTCTACGTGGTTGGAGAGTGCCCCGGTCACTCGGCTGTCGCTGAGGCAGTCGGTCCTCAGCCAGAGGCCGGCTCAGGATCGCTATCAGCGTGTGGAGCAGAGGGCAGCGGTTTTGCTGTTGGAGAGCCTTCCAGAAGAACTTCGGCACGAGGTGGTGTCGGTCCGGGCAGTGACGGTTGAGGCGATGATCTTCTTGGTCCATTGCGCCTACCAACCTGGAGGCGCTGGCGAGAAGGCGCACCTGCTGCAGTTCTTGACGTCGCCGGAGGTGGGGTCAGGATTGGAAGGGACTCTTCAGTTGGCGAGGAAGTGGGTGCGACTTCTACGAAGAGGGACTGAGTTGCAGCTCGTTTTGCCTGACCCGTCGCTGTTGTGCCGGGGCTGACCTTTGCGCGGAACAAGCATCCGTCCGCTGCTTTCAGAATAGCCTCGTTCAAACTTGAGAGGCAGCTTGACTTCAAGGCCACACTCAGGGATGCCGAGGACTTCGCCTATTTGGTGGTTGGCGAGTTGGAGGCGGCTTTGCTGGCTCAGCCTTTACCGGCTCCCCCGAAGGTGGCGCGCATGGAAGAGGGAAAGGGCTCCGATGATGGACCAAAGGGCAAAGGAAAAGGCAAGCAGCAGAAGCCGTGTTGGGCTTGGCAAGACGGCAGTGGATGCAAGTTTGGCAGCCGCTGCATGTTCCAGCATGCGGCTCTTGGTCCTGGAAGATGCTGGGAGTGCGGAGCGGAGGGCCATCTGAAGCCGCAGTGCCCGATCCTCGGTCAAGGGGGGAATGCTTCTGGTGGCGGTGGTGGTGTCGGAAATCAAAATTCGTCGTCTCAGTCTGGCCAAGCGAGTGGAAAGGGTACTGGAGGAGCTGCTTCTGGGGCTCCGTCTTCTTCGGCGGCAACTTCGGGGTCTGCGAACGCTGAGGAGAAGCCGAGGAAGAACAAGAAGAAGGGCGGTGGGAAAGACAAAGGTGCCAAACAAGATGCGGTGCGGAAGGCTGAGGAGGAAGCTGGCACTGAGGATCAGAATCGTTCTGCCGCTGCTCCACCAGTGCAGGAGGACACCGCAGCGCGGAGTGAGTTCTTTGAGGAGGCGACAAAGGCACTGAAGTCTTTGCGGCTGGCCAAGCTGACGGTGAGATCCTTGCAGGGCTCTTTTGGAAGCGGTGGCAGGGCCCTGGTCGATTCTGGGGCAACGACTTCTATGAGGACGGCTCGCCCGAATGAGGTTCGGGGACTACCGCTTCGCAAGGTCTCGCTGGCGGAAGGGGAGACCACCTTTTATCAGCTTCCAGGAGGTACTCTCCTAACTACCAAGGAGGTTGCCCCGATCGTGGCGATGAGCGACTTGATGGAGATTGGCTGCCGTGTGACCTGGTGCAGTGATGAAGGGTGTAAGGTGGTTCATCCAGTTCGGGGTGATCTTGGAGCTCGGGTGATCAATGGATGTCCAGAGGTGGATGAGCAGGTCGGCTTGGAGCTGATCGCGGAAGCGGAGCAAGTCAAGTTGAGAAGGCGTGAAGCTGAGCTGGCGGTCAATCGGCTCGTGGAGGGAACGGAGAAGCTCCGGCTTGGAGCTTGGAAGCTGGATTGGGAGTTTGGGGCGAAGGCTGTGAAGGATCTTCGCAATGGTGTGGGTCTGTCGTGGGCCTGGCTACATCAGATGTTTCCTGAGGCGCCGTCGTGGTTGGTGTCGGCGATCCCGGTTGTGGCCGGAACTGATGGCGACAGTGTGCCGTGGAACCGACATGAGCGCAAGCGGTGGAGGAGGGCTTCGGCGGTCGCGGTCCATCTCTTTTGTGGTCGTGATCGATCTACGTGGAAGTCTCGAGCTGAAGCGGCTCATGTGGTGACGGTGGACCGGGCGGAGGATCTCATGTCGGACCCCACCTATGCGGCTCTGTTGGAGTTGGCCCTGTCTGGAAAGGTTAAGACGGTCTTCGGTGGACCGCCGCCCCGTACCTTCATGGCTCCTGGCGGTGTTGCGGGAGTGGGAGAAGGACCTCGACCTCTACGGGATCGCGATGGAAAGGGTCGGTGGGGTCGTGATGGCCTCAGTGAGTGGGAGACCTGGCGTGTGAAGCAGGATACCGTGATGATCTTCAGGATGGTTTTCCTGTGGATGGTGGCTACCGCTACCGCGAGGGCCAATGGTGAGCGGGATGCGGATTTCATGTTGGAGCACCCGGAGGACTCCCAGGAGGTCTTGAAGGATGGCGGCCTCCCTTCGTTGTGGGCGTTTCCGGAGATCCAGTTCTTGAAGGATGAAATGAAATGGTTCTGGTGGAAGTTCGACCAGGGTCCTCTCGGGCATCCTCGAAGGAAGCCTACACGTGTTCTGGGATCGGTGCAGTGCCCTCGCGAACTGCGTGATGTTCGGGGACCGTCTACGGTGTCCGAGGAGGAGCGGGGCCATGATGGCGATGGGTTTCGTTCAGTGACGTGGGCGGACTGGGCTCCGGGCTTAAAGCAAGCGATGAAGCGCGTGGTGGAGGAGAGCCTGGCAGGGTCCGCTTTGGAGTCCATTATGAAGATGGACCAGTCCTTCTTGGAGCACCTTCAGAGGGACCACATGCCGTTTCGGCGAGACTGCAAGGCGTGCTTAGCAGGCCACTTCCGGGGACACGTTCATCGTCGTGTGGTGGCTCCGGATGCTTGGACCTTGAGTCTGGATCTTGTGGGACCAACCAGACAAGGCTCCGATGAGTATGTTCGGAAGATTCGCTATGGGCTTGTTGGGGTTCTGGTTGTCCCGGATGCCCTCGGCAAGATCCTTCAGCCTTCGGACCCAGATGGTGAGGATGAAGGTGCCGGAGTGGGACTGGATCCAGTTTGTGATGAGGAGGCCCCTGAGGAGGGCGACGGGGATGCGGCGGATTCTCCAGTGGAAAAGGAAAGGAGCGAGCGGGAAATGGCGAAGTGGAAGGCGCGCGTGGACAAGGAGAAGCTCCCTTGTCGACGTGTTGGCCCTTAAAGCGCCCCGGGCCTTCCCAAACAGACCTTAAAAATGAGCCTTCAAAGGTTTAAGGCACATTTGAGATTTTTAAGGTCCATTTGGTTTTTGTCAGCATCATGATTTATCGGAATGAAATTAGCATCATAGAGCATCGGTTTGAGCCTTCGAGCCAGAGAAAAACAAAGCATCATGAAGCATCGTAATGAGCCAACAAACATAACGAAAAGCATGCAAGATTTATATTTCGAAACGAAGCATCATGCAGCATTGGCTTGAGCCTTTGAGCCGACAAAACCCTAGACAGCAACCTAAATTAGGGTTTATAAGGGGTGTTTATAGTACAGATCCTACATTAAGCACAATTGTATGGTTCTTCTTGATTGTTGGTAAGATGGTGATACCGTCGCTGGAATCGGGATCGGGCTTTCTATCTATGCAATACAAGGACTTCCGGAAAAAACACTTCGCACTCAGGGTTTAGGGATATGTTCTCGGTTGCGAGCCTTCCCAGGTATAGGGTTAACTGCACAGAACCCCAACTTAACCCGAATATTTAGCCTCTGAAGCTATAGACGATAATGCCAAGACTTTATAAGGCGACACTCTTCAGAAGATTCCGTTGAAACCACAGAAAGCTTCCTGATAATTCTGAAGTTCCTGAATACCCTGGCCAGCCTCATCTTAAGCGGCTGTGAATGAGCTTGGGGAAGAAATGTAAAGGGTCAATGTGGGTCATATATATACGTGTATATGGATGGGGTTTATAAGGCAAATATTATAAGTGGTGGTATGGGCTTGCAAGCTTTTGAGGTTTCAAGGTTTGGAAGGGCTTTAGAAGGATCGATTTCGAAACACTACAATTACGGATTTGGGTACTGACTTATGATAGAATTGCAAGTCAAGCTAGAATCTAGGAAATGGCCTTGAGGGCTGGGGGTTTTATAGAGGGCCTTCGAGGAATGCAACTTAAAGAAAACTGACATTGTTTTCAGCGCCCCTGCTGACACTCCAACCGGTGCTTCTGGACCACGAGCAGGCGCTTGAGAAGATTCAGCGAAGCTGTTTTCCTGTGTACCTTTCGGTACACCCGTAAAGAATATTTCACAAAGTCTTCATCAAGCCAACAGGAATCCACGGAGGGGTTTCTCCTCGAAGCACGAAGCATAACATCACCCAAAAGGTGTGTGACCATGTGATACTTTGGACGTATCTTGAAATGCTTCTCTTGTTTCTGATGAGCTATGGCCGCCAACTGAGAGTACGTGTTTTGGTACATGGAGCCCAGAGTGTGAATCGCATCGCACTCCTCGTCTGACAAGAAGAAGTCAGCTCTCATCAGGGTCTGCACCATGTTGTGGGCCGACCAGACACAAGCAAGTAGCCCATCATACGGTGCCGGCATTGGCTGCTGTTGCAGTCTTTCTGCAAGATAGTGTAAACAAATTCCTGCATCCGCTGCTGATGCATGCAGCTCGGGGCATTTCTTCTTTTTCCACACCAGCATTTCCTTTGTGATCTTCTTGAAATTCACCTGTTTCCCATGCCTTTGAGCAAAACTTCGGATTTCCCGAACCAATTCAGCCAGACGCCCAGAAAGCCTTGAGGATTGAAAGTATAGACCGTCACGACGCTTGCACATTAGCTTGAAGGCCGATCCTACCAAATCTCGGCAGCAGCCGAGATGCCATAAATGCATGACATCTAGAGCCAGCATTCCGGTGTTGAACCCAACCAAGCCGGACAAGGCGGGAGGTATTTCCCATGGTTCTTCAATATATTCGGTGGCCCGCCACATTGCCTCTGGCCCAGCATCAGTGTAAACTAGATCAGGCTCATGGCGACCCATAGATGCTAAGCAACGGAAGCACACCTGCGTGAGCACATCGTATAGCTTAATTCTTCCTCGAACCATAGCTATAATGCATAGAAGTGCAACCACAACATCTTATGAATTATGAGTACCTATCACCCAGCAAAACAGTGACCTTGAAAATAACTTACTTGGAAGTATTTAGGGTTATATAACGTACATTAAGTCAAAGGAATCTGATCTAGGCACCATAAACCCCCAAACGGTTTACTATATACGTGACAAGTGACAACCCTAACTCAAACCCCCGTACGTGTTCCTCCGACAACATCCAATGTCTTCGTGCCGCGGTTGCGCCTGCTCCGAGCCGGGTGAGCGAACCAAATTGAAGGCCTGCTTCATGTACTTCAAGTCTCCTTTGATGGAAACCACATAAAAGTAGAACACCTTGGGCCAGGGGTGTAACATGGCATAAACCCTACAGCCAGACCTAAAACACTAAGGGGATAGTATACTGTAGACCGTGATTCGGACAAAATTTCTAAGCCAACTGTTGACGATATCCTACTATTCAATCACAGGAACCCCATGATTCGTGGAAACCCCCTGGGTCGAAAGCTTGTTGAAGTCAGCCACCAGTCGTCCATACAGGGATTGCAGGGTTGTATTGACCTTTCCATCCATCCAATAAGCAGATACCGGCATTGAAAACATAGCACATCTTGAAGCCCTTGAGTCGTTTCGGCAGGGGCTGAGGTCTGGCATCCTTGGACTTCATAATATGGAAACATTTTGTGTTAAAGCAGGGGTTTAGGGTAATCACAGCAAATCAAGCACCATCATCAGAGCAAGTAGCCATGAAGAGATCATCCAGCTCGACTTTTTAATGGTGCCTTCGTCTCCCCAAAGGCAGACCGGGATCGAACACCGCCATTTTTCAGGTTGTCTCACCAACGGGTGACCAGGAAAGTCCTTAAGCATTCTCCCCCAATAATCCTCCAGATGGTCAGTCGGCGCCAGGCTTTGCAACCAACCCTCGTTGATGAGAGCTGCAGCCTGGGCACTAAACAAAAGGAGGATTGGGGTTTCATCGGGAGTTTTCTATACAGTAGAAGCCAGAAAGTTGGAACATGGCTTTAAGAGGATTAGTGCTAGGATCCCTTATACTTTACCTTAAGGGCATGAGGGTAATGATGTTCCAACTTTCTGGCTTCTACTGTACCCTAAACCCTAAACCCTAATTCTGTTTGTAGGATTTATGTAGTAGCCCGACTATCAAACCAGGAAGCAAGGGCACTAGGAGATAGGATAGGCCAGCTCTCCATCTTCATGTTGTGAGTGTTTTCATCCATCATAGGGACCAGAATCCATTCCAGATCGCACTTGATGGCTCGGCCCGACGCTGCTACACGTTGGTGGAATTCTGTCTCTCGTAAAGGCCTGCTCGGGTATCCTGCCAATGTCGCCGACTCATACACATCGCCTGAAACTCAAAGCTTTAATTAAAGGCATCCATAAAACACTTAAGGGCTGGTTTAGTGATTTCTAAATCAGAAGCAGACCTATACTTAAGTTTCTAGTATCCCCACGGCCAAACTTTTGAACTCACCATGGCATATCAAGCACCCAGTCACCAAGCTCACAGCTGAGACCAATCGTAGTATCGCCAGAACACGTAGCACGGACTAGCCTGAGCAATTTGAAGGCTCTTAACTGATGCACAATGAACCACACTTGGGGCTTATGTGCAGAATAACTCTATTCCAGACAAGGTAGCACATCATCCAATCTGTCTTGCAGACGTTTTGGACGTGGCGGTGTAGGACCTGCGAGGGAGTACGTACTGATATCTAACTTATACATGCAACTGCATCGGAAGTTGCACATACAAGCTCACCGACTGTATGGTTGCAAAGCGCTTTTCTGGCCAAGGCATCTCGGTGAATGGACGAAGAGTAATCGCAGGGCGGGTCCGAGGCTGAGATCTTTCGGCACAGGATGTTCTACCACACATTCACAGCCCCTGCAATGCATGGGGCACCCGATGCCTGGGATCTAGCGCAAAACCTGGTTGTTGCACTTGCAGCTGCAGCTTCAAGAAATGCATGCGGATAGCATCTCTGCTTAGCATGTTCAGATGGCAGGCTAGAATAATGCGCTGATTTGCAAGCACAACAAACCACCCCTGTCAGCTAAAGTTTAGCTGCAGTCTGCATCGAGACCATCTATAGCCCATGGTATACCTTAAGGTATTCAGGAAATACCACCCTGCTTCTTCATCTCATTGATGAGGCCCTTGGCTTGGCCTCTGGTCATCTTCAACAACTCCACCTGCAAGACGGCATATGGGGTTTAGGATGCATATGGAGTTTTCTTGACTTAGGGGGGGGGGGCTTTCGGTTTAAAGCTCCTTACGGTGTCAGAGGGTTTAGAATTTGGGGTTGATAATTGAGCTCAGAATTTAGAAGCATTGGAAGCTCCGATTGTGAGAAGAATATGCAGTCCTGAACCCATCTCTGCCTCTCTATCCCTCTCCCTCCCGAACTCCCTTCCCTCCATGTCTTTGTCTCTGTGTCTGTCTGTTTGAAAACTCTCTGTCTCTGTCTCTGTCTCTCTCTCTCTCTCTCTCTCTCCTCTCCTCTCCTCGTCTTTATCTTCTATAGTTCAACACTCACTCTCTCTCTCTCGCTCTCTCTTTCTCTCCCCGTCTGAATCTTCTAAATTTCAAGTACAGCCACACTCGGGTTCCTGGAGTTCGTTGATTATGTGCATTCAATCGAAGCCTTGGGGAGTGAAGATGCATTCGACTGGTTCCGTATATGGCCTCTTCAGCAATCTTGCTGCAAAGCGGGTCCATATCCTCGTGGGTCTTGGCGCTCTTGAACCTGAAGGGCTTACAGCTTAGGGGTTACTGTAAGTAGTTGCAGCCATACTGCTGGTGGTTGTGGTAATACGGACACTGGTAGTGTAGTTTTGAAAAACCTAAAGGATATAGGTGACTGCTATGCGTTCGGGTGATAGCCATTGCAAGATTTAACACAAGTAAAAAGATGGACTACTATATAAGCAGAAAACCAGCAAGTAGTCGAGTCAGTAGTACATATAGCAAAGCTTCGGAAACAATGTTTCTATGTTCTTCCTATGTCACCTTTCACTAGAATATTACCTCATCTTCCGGAATCTCCAAGAGCGCTAACCCGACAATCCG